GCCCTCTGGTGGATGAGGCTATCTAAGAAGCTTGTGGAAGTTTCCTGATTGGAGGGACTGGTGGTGGGTAGAGCTGGCTTTTGCTCTGGTGGGCAGAGGTTAGTAAAAACCTTTTCTTGGTGCATGTGTTTGGAGGGAGAGATCTCTCTCTCTCCCTCTTTTTATAAGGGCATTAATCCCATCATGGGGGCCCCACACTCTTAACCTCATCTACACTTAATTACCACCAAAAGGCCTCACCTCCTATAACCATCACATTGGGGGTTAGAAGACTTCAACATATGATTTTCTGGGGGCGACACAAACATTCAGACCATACATATAGATTCACAGGAAGTTGAAAAGATAGTACAGAGATGCCCTGTGTACCTTTTACCTAGTTTCCCCTAATGCTTCCATCATATATGGTGATAGCACAATATCAAAACCAGTACACTGTGTGTGTCTTGTTCTGTGTCATTTTATCCCCTGTGTAGGCCTGGGCAACCACCAGGACAAAAAGTATACAGAAGAGTCTTACCACCACAAAGGTCTCCCTTGGGGTCCCCATCACAGTCATTCCCCCGCCTCCATGACCCCTGACCCCTGACCCCCGGCAACCACTGATCTGCTTTCTATCTCCACAGTGTTGTCCTTTCAAGAGTGTTAATACATATGTGGACTCATATGGTATGTGACCTTTTGAGATTGGCTTTTTTTTTGTTTGTTTTCACTCTGCTTAATGCCCTTGTGATCCAAGTTGCTGTATGAGTCAATAGTTCCATCCTTTTAATTGCTGCATAATATTCCACACACACATGACTTTGCAACTTTTCTCCTCCAACTGGAAGAAATCCTTTCCTCCTCCCCAGTCTTCCTCTCCTTTGGAAACCGCCACTCCCAGCGTCTTTCCCTGAACTTATTTCCATTACCTTCACCTGGTCCCAGTTAAGCCTTCACCACATCCTTGCCAGGTGTTCTCCCTTTGCTGAGCTGGGAGGAGCCGGGTTTGGGAGGCACAGCTGTTCAGCATTAAGGTAAAGGTCGGTTGCAATGGTGGCTGCAGGGCCTCCAGGCTCCCCAAGCTTTTTCCTCCTTTCCTTTAACCAGTGAGTTTTGATGGCCCAGGCCTTCTGAGTGCAGCCTTCATGCCATGGATTGAGCAGATGCCAGAGCTTTCACACCAGAAAGCAGTCGTATGCAAGCCAGGAGGACTCTCACCAGAAACCCACCCTGCTGGGCCTGGATCTTGGACTTCCAGCCTCCAGAACTGTGAGTAAACAAATTTCTGTTGTCCAAGCCACCCAGTCTATGATATTTTGTTGTGGCAGCTAGAGCCAACTAACATACCTCAATTAAATCCTTCCAAGAGCCAGTTAAAAGAAACATAGCAACTGTAACAATGCCTGAAGTTGCCCTTATGGAAAGCAAAATTGTTTTAAGTTCCCATCCTGCTAACTTATTTTTACTCTGGTCCTCTCTTTTTTAAAATTGGTTAATTATTAAATTAGCTTTCATTTTATAGATGTTTTATCCAGTCATTAAAAGTGAATTTAATTGGCTGTTTGTGGAGTTTTCTAAGTTTATTGCTTGTTCGGATCAATTGGAAAGTGAAAGCTGAGGGGTACTGGCTCAGATTTTTAAATACCATCAGCCTTGGGCTGGGTCTCCTCCTGGGGCTTTGTCAGCGCTTCAGATTCAAGATCTTGATTCCTTAGGGAGGAGTCCACAGTTGCTGCAACATTTCAGATAACCCTAGACAAGCTGATAGCTGTATGAGAGAGCTAGAAGTGTATTATGCCCTTTAAATTTGAGTTCTTCATGAGAAAAGAGACGGGCTGGGTAATCCTGTAAGTTTGGATTTAAAATTCATTGACAGCGTCTGATGTTGAAAGATCTTATCCGAGCCCCCTTTTCATTGTGAGAAGAGCAGGGCTAAAAATTATTTCCCTAAATGACTTTTTTTTAGCCAGCTGATATGAGTTGCCACAAATCAAAACGCTGTTTTGTTCAAAACGCCTGTATTCTCGGTCCACTTTAGATTTTCTGGGCCTTGGTAACACTTGTAGGTCTTTTTGATCCACATAGTTGCTGGGACAGCTCAATAAATGTAGGTGCTTACTATGATATGTAATTAGCATGAGTTTTTTGTTTTGTTTTGTTTTACAACTTGTTACAATCACACTGTAGATGGCATTTTGCATCTTCAAAAAAGGTAAACTGGGACTTAAAGTGTAAATTTTTAATGATGGCTTTCAGGTGCTTCCTCTGTCTCTGTGTTAGTTCGCCCTGGGAGCTCCTGGTTTATGGCTAGTGATTCTTGGAGTCTGGTTTACATCTGTAGCTCTGGGTGCCAAATTCTTAATTGATCCTGGGTTATCATGGGTGGTGTGTGACTCCGGCTTTGCTGGTAAATTCTGGAGATTGCTGCTAAGATGGTAACAGTCAAGGATTCAGGATGAAACATACATCAGTGTTCCCATGGACGCAGGTAGGGAACACGGCAGGAGAGCTGGTCTGCGTCCAGTTGAAGGACTGCCTGTGAGACTGCCCACTCGGCAGGCAATGAGTCTCGCTGGGGTGGAGTGTTGCTGGCTTAGAGTTTGGTACAGAAGCTGGGCTGTGGAATGGATTGAGCAGCCTGTACGTCAAAAGCTTCAGCTAAAAATGTTCCCAGTTATAGGTATTTCCAGAACACCTGCTGGAATCCCATACAAAGCCTTGGCTTTATTTTATTTTATTATTAATTTTTTGGCTATGCTGAGCAGCTTTCAGGATCTCAGTTCCCTGACCGGGGATTGAACCTGGGCCACGACAGTGAAAAGTGCTGAGTCATAACCACTGGACCACCAGGGAGGTCCCAAAGCCTTGGCTTTAAAACCCACCAGGTTCAAAGAGCAGGAAGCCCCTCAGCCGTATAAGAGCAGTCCTTCCTCCTTATAATTCCTCCAGCCTCTCTGTGTGTTTGGTCTGAAACAGAAACCCAAGAGCTGGAGAGGAAGAGAACGTACATGTGGTAGACACACTATGACCATACTCCCTTCTCCAAGGCGAGTGGCTCTCAGCCATGAACTTGGCCAGAGGAAAGGGAGCGGGAGTCTTTTGAGTTAAGATTGATGTGATGACTTATATCTTGGACTGAACAGCTTTAATTTCTCAGCTGAGACAGTGTTTCATGACTTAGGAGTGACAAGAAGTTTGTCTTTTCCCCAAGAGTGAGCAGAAAGTTACACATCCTATCCAAGTCTTCATCCAAGGGCCGGGGAAGATTTTTAATGATAAGTTTCAGGTGTGCAGTACTATAATCACTATAGAGTAATCACCACCGAAGTCTGGTTACCATCCATCACCATAGCGTTGACCCCCTTCACCCATTCTTTGCCCAATCTTCCCAAACCCCTAGTCGTCTGGGAACCACTCATCTGTTCTCTGGATCTGTGAGCTTGTTTTTATTTTATTGTGTGTGTTCCCTGTTTTGTTTTTTTTTTTAGATTCCACATGAGTGAAATCACATGGTATTTGTCTCTGTCTGACTTATTTCACGAACTTTAACACCCTCTAGGATTTTTATGGCTGAGTAATATTCCGTTGTGTATATATAGCACATTTTCATCTATCCTTCCACTGATGGACACTTAGGTGGCTTCCATGTCTTGGCTATTGTAGATAATGCTGCAGTGAACACAGGGGTCCATAGATCTTTTCCAACTAGTGTCTTCATGTTCTTCGAATAAATGCCCAGAAGTGGAACACCATATGAGTGTATGGTAGTTCTATTCTTAACTTTCTGAGCAATCTCCATACTGTTTTCCATAGTGGCTCTACTGATTTACATTCCCACCAACAGTGCAGGAGGGTTCCCTGTTCTCCACCTTCTCGTCAGCACTTATTATCTCTTCTTGTTAAGAGCCATTCTCACAGGTGTGAGGTGATAGCTCATTGTGGGTTTGATTTGCATTTCCCTGATGAGTGCCGTTGAGCACATTTTCATGTGCCTATTAGCCATCTGTATGTCTGAGAATTGTTTATTCAGATCCTCTTTTGTCCATTTTAAAGTTGGGTTGTTTTTATTGTTGAGTTGTATGAGTTCTTTATATATTTTGGATATTAATCCCTTATCAGATATATGATTTGCAAGTATCTTGTCCCCTACAGAGTTTTCATTCTGATGATTTCGCTTGCTGTGCAGAAGCTTTTTAGTTTGATGTAGTCCCATATGTTTATCTTTGCTTTTGTTTCCCTTGCTTGTGGAGTCAGATCCCCGAAGACACTGCTAAGACTGATGCTGATGAAGTTACGGTCTATGGTGCCTTCTAGGAATTTTACAGTTTCAGGTGGACTGAATAGGTTCAATAGGGACTATGGGAAACAAATTTTAAGCCCAAAGTTGTTTGTTCAACAGACCAATTACATCTCAAAGCAAGGCCATTCAAGAGTCATGGAACTGGTTTCTGGGCATTTCTTTTGTAAATTATGCACGTGAGGGTCTATCTTATGCTCGTTTTGATTTCTAATGTTCATCCTACTGATGCCTCAGTTAAAACAGATGGTGAGCATCCTCTTTAAATCTCGTTTGACACAGTTACTGTTTACGATGTATAAATCAGAATTTAGAAATGAATGGGAACACTGATCAGAAAACCTAACACTATTCATACAAAGGTCTCCTTGACTTCACGTCTTACCTTCACTAAAAGGTCCTTAGCCTCCTTCTCGAGCCATCGTGGGTAAAAGGGGCTGTCCATGCGGATGGAGTGGAAGAGTTCCTCTTCATCTTGCCCATGGAAAGGTGACTGACCTATTAGCATCTCGTAGAGAAGGACGCCAAAGGACCACCAGTCCACAGAATGGTTGTACTTCTGACCCAGCAGGATCTGTGGGACCAAAAGACAGAGACATAATTAATCAAAACGAGGTTGACTTGAAAACCCTGCATGGACTTTTCAAGGCCACTCAGGACATAATTGATGAAGAACAGTGCATGGTTTTAGCAAAGATTACACTGAAAACTGTAGCTTTTGTGAAGTTAATGATTGGATAGAAATAAGTGGGCAGTACCAAAGCTAAGCAACATTTTTGAATTTCAGCATCTTTCTTCCCCCCTCTGGCCTTAAGCAAAACAACTAAATTGTACCATCAGCTCTTCATTTTCCTATCTGTGATGGGAGCCCATGGGTGGTAGATTCAGACCTAAGAGAGCTGATGTGTATCTAAGCCCTTCATTGCCTCTGAGGTGAATATCTAAATCAAACCCATGTGTTTTATGGACTTCTGTGGTCTTGAGTCTTTGCATAAAGTTCTGTAGCTAATCAAGCAGCCAAAGGGGTCGTCTGACCAAGTCCACCCCTTAAACCTAACTAGTCACGGTTACGAAGAGTCAAATTTTGTGACTATGCCAAGAGAGACTAGGATAACAAGCTGATAGATATTTGTGAAAATAAAGATCAAGCTGCAAACAGAATTTTGCAGTCTGCCGCTGACTTCCGGTATAAAAATGCTATCTACCGGCCTTAACTCAATGTTTGAATACTGAGGTTAATTCTAAAGTAAAAAAAAAACAACTTAGCCTTAAGGAATAGTGTAAAAGTAGACCCAGGGAGAATGATAAAGAAAATAAAGATGCACACACTGCGCAGTCTTAGCTCAGGTACATTGGCCTTAAGTGGGGCCCGGTTCACACGCAATTCCCAGGATGTGCCACAAGAGGGAGCCCAAGGCAACCAGAAGCTGCTCTGAGCATCGCATCTTGGTAAGCAATTTCGTTTGGCGGATGAATGGAAAGAAATTTGGAAGGACAGGAGACAGCTGAGGTAGAAATTAAGTCTTCCAAGGCTAGGGGATGTTAGTAAAGAATTTCAGTCTTAAGTCAGGAGAAAGAAGCAAAATGCCGATTCACACTCAGTTATACACTGTATGAACAGAATGTCTGCAAACGCCTGCTGACGTGTACTGGGTGTTTCCCATACGTGGTGTTTATTTATAAGAACCTCTGGGGGTAGGTCCTGTTATCCCTATTTAACAAAGGACGGTGACTGGACCTCGGGAGGTTATGGGTCTTCTTTAAGGTTGCCTGCTTAGTGAGTTGAAAGCTATGTTCTGGACCGTGGTCTTTTGGGATTTTACTACATAATGTTCCTTTTCTATTATAATGTTTCCAGGATTTGAACTTCGATCTAATTCATGCTCAAATTAGTCTGTATTTTAAAAGAAAATTGGTGTGGAAACAATGGCCGGAGTGGCTCTTTTTCTATCTCAGCCCCTGGTGCCTTCTTATGGCCATGCTGTCTTTTGTCCTGTTCTCTCCCCATCTTTACTCAAATAATTCAGATAATAATGATGTTACCACTTCACGTCAGAGTCCCCCTTCCTCTCTTAGAGCAAGAGAAAGCTACAATTCCATCCACCTCTTGGAGCTAGTGATTTGAGGTCTGTACATGACTCACCACATGATGTGCACAGCGGGGAAAGCGTCCTTAGAAACCAAGTGACCACCAACGCCTCTATGGCTCTGGTTTCCGAGTGACTCCTGCTTTCTCCAGGGAGCTGCTTCTATGTACTGAAATTCCACCTGGACTTACTAAGTGGCTAGTAGATGTTGGAAAGTAGGGTGTCTCCCTATTTAACTATTTTCTATTCTTTGTCAAAATGAGCGTGGACCTCCAATTATACGTTAGACCCTCGGTCCTATAACCGTGACATAGGGAACCACAGAGCTTTGGGGAAGGTCTCAGGAGACGTGGGCTGGTGAGGCTATTCCCTGGTTTGAGGGAGCACGTCTGCTTTTTCATGCATCGTTCCTGATGCTGCCCTGAATGCACTTATTTTTTGTGTTTCAGGCCCTCCGCCCATATCATTGAGGTCCCCGGGGAGAGGGCAATGGGTCAGTGAGTGAGATAAAGGAAAAGCTTCACAACGGAGATGACATGTGAGTGGAGCTTTGGAAAATGGGTGGGATTTTGATGGAAAAGGGAGAGGCTAGAGACAAGAGGCCCCATCTCCAGCACATGTTCAGAGATGGGCATTTGGGGTGCATGTCTTGGTGTGGTCATTCACGGAACAGGTGATGGGCGCTCTGAGCTGTGGAGGAGGAGACTAGACACTGAGGTGGATAAATCATGGTCCTTAGCTGTGAGAAATTCAGTTTACTGGCAAACGGGATTACACATGGGCTGTGGTAGCACAGAGGAGGAAACAACTGATTGATTATTCCAAGAAGCCAGAGGCACCTTCAGGGAGAAGATGACTTTGGAGGTGGGAGTAAATCAGACCAAGGATTCCGAGGGCATGGCTAAGGGATATGAGAGAGAAGGATACGGATGTCTCAGGATATATTAAGGACCTTCTCTTGGGGTTTTGGCTTGTACCCAGCTGACAATGGGGACTTCCTGAATATTTTTAAAGGCGTGGCGTGACAGGTCTTCCCGTTAGAGAGGTAGATCTGGTGACGTGGTGGAACAGCGGCCCTCAGAACAGGGCACGCACCCCAGGGAGCACCTAGACGGCATAACGCCGAGACACGGGAAGAAAATATTAGAACTTGTATTTATGCAAGTTTAAAAAATTCCAGTAGTGGCACTGATGCCCTCATTTAGAAATGTGACCAGTGACTAGGTTTCCCGAGGGAGGAACGGGAAGCCTCATCTCGGGAGGAGTTGGTGGTGGCTTGGCTAGAGTATTCGTCTTCGGCACATCGTAAGGTGCGTCACTATTACGATTACTTATTATCCTAAGGTGCGTCATTTGCGTTGCATGCCTAGTTAAGGGGATCGGTGGGTTCTGTTTGAACTAAACTCATTTTCACAAAATGGAACATCCTTAAAAAGTTATCTGCAAAAGAGACTTGGATTGAAGACCATGCTAATGATGCACAGTAGAAAACGACAAGTGCAGAGATCTTACTTACTCCTAGTACCAGCTCTTTGTCACATTATAACGAAGCTAAAAACAGTGACCGTTTCATTAGTTGTGACAGGAAGCTGGCTAAATCAGAAAACACTGTTGTGCATTCTGGACTTATATCCGCTCTCTTCAGCCACGAACCTTGCCTTACGTACATACTGTAGCATCTGTCCTACAGTGTGCCTTTGTGAGGGCTCTTTCTCGGCTACGAGCCAATAAAACCAGAAACTGAAAGAAACCAAGCAGACTTTTGAGTGGCAGAATCATAAAGGGTTAAACCAAGATTTTACAAAGTTATTTCGCCTCATTATTTTAATAAAGCATAAAATGTACTATTAATAGAATACAACTTAGTTATTTAAAACTTTATTTCATCTTAAGTTCAGCCTGTTCCTTTTTCTGCATGTTTGATAACAGACTATGTTAGTTGGTGATAATGTATAATAAATATACATATGCCGGTGATGCTTTTTTAACTGATGAGGGAGCATGGTCAAAAAGTCTGAAAATATGTAAAGATGAGGCACTGGCAGCTGGGTGGTCACGGAGAGGAAAGTCTGGGTAAAAAGGCATCACCAGGATCCAGACCAGAGGTGCTGAGGGCCTGGACCAGGGCAGCAGCTGGAAGATGCGGCGGGATTGGAGAAGCTTGATTTAATCCCCAAAGGGATTCATTTTGAGGATCAAAAAAGAAGGGAGATTCTTAGTACAATCACAAGATTGGGGAGGCATGAAAACAGATGTGTGAACCCCTGAGGTCTATATTTAGAAGGTCTTGGTGTTTGGATTTGGGAGGGGTAAGAAGGAAGGAGAAGACTTGGAGGATTCCAGTTTTCTGGCTGGGTGACTGGATGGATGAATGTGTATGTCATTCATCCAGAAGGGGATAAAGGAGAAGGGTGTGTGCATGTGTGTGTGGGGGGGAAATTTCAACAGAGAGTGGGTTTGGGATCTGTTATGATCGAATGGCCTGTGACAGTGAGTTGGAGATCTCAGCAGGAAAACAGACATACAGGTCTGAAGCAAGAAGTTTGGGCCGGTCATACTGATTTGGGAGTTGAAATCATAGTCATAAATATAGCTGTTCATGGAGAAGGTACAGGGAGAACAAAGGACCAGGGGTGGAATGGTGTGAAGACAAGCAGGCTTGAAGATGAGAGAATGAGATTGAAGTTGCAGAGAGAAGCCAGTCTCTGAAGGTAAATTCTGGAAGATGTCAAAGGAAACAGAATTGGGAAGGAAGGATTGCCTGGGAAAGGGTTTGGCGTAAGGCATGTATAGACAGGATAGGTAAAAGCCATGATTTCTTGCTGACCAGAGGCCAAGCTTGAATTTAACCAAGGTGCAATCTAAACTAAGTACATAGGCACAGGGCAGAGTCTCCTGTTTCTTAGACTGAGGACCCTACATTACTTTGGCTATGACAGGGATTTGCTGCTGAATTTGTTTTGCCCAGGAAACCAGAGGCCCATCGCTGTCTATCCATCAGACAGCCGTCACCGCTCACACACTTATCAATAGTTGTTCGTTCACTCTTTGAAAAGCTAGCTATTAGCACCTTAATATGCCGAGCCCTGAGCTCCGTCCTTGGATATAAAAGTGGATAAGATCACACTGATCTACACATACGATAAGTGGGGCAAAACTTTACACACCTTGTAACAACATCCATGTCCCGGTTCTGTTACTGTACCATAGTTACGTAAGCTGGAACCAGTAGGGGAAGGGTAGATATGGGTGACATTTCTGTACTATTTTTGGCAACTTCTTGTGAATTTATAATTATTTCAAAAGAAAGTTTTTAGAAAGCGAATAAGAAACAGCCCCTGACTTTAGAGCAATCACCCAGTAGTTCAGAGAGATCCAAAGATAGAAAAGCCGCGATAAGTTTATGCTGCGGGAAGGACCAAGGGGAAAGGGAGTGTCTCATCTCCCTGGGGTGGGCAGCTGGCGTTGATGGATGCCTTCTGAGCAAACTCTGATCTTCCAGGGGCTCAGAATATGAGAGCGATGGCTTATTTTGTTTTCTCTGTTGCTGTTTTTAAACTTTCATAGTCTCTCCCATGGGACCCAGTAACAGGAGAGAGAAGTGGGACCTCTCCAGGCTCACACAGTAGCAGCTTGGAAACCACAATTTAGGTTTTTCTGGTCCCAAAATGAAACCACTGGACTTAGGTAGATGCCCATGAGCCTGTTCAGTGTCCGCCTGGCTCTTCACCAGTTGCTTCTTCTGGTTGGTCTGAGCAGAGCGACTATATTTTAAGGCTGGGGTGGGAGATCCAGGATGGGAAGGGCCTGCTGGGTCCCTCACGCCTTGGCGAGGTGCAGAAGTTAGCGCGGGTACCACGCCCAGTGCGACACTAGCGGCGCCTAGGTGCAGCTGCATTTGTCAAATACTCCGAAAAACAAATACACATCCTGAACGAAAATAGTTTAAGGTCTTCTGATTTTCAGGGGAGAAGGAAGCAGTGGTGCTGGCCCCGGGAGGGCGGAGTTGTACGGGTGGGTGCAGAGCGGCGCGTCCTACCTCCGGGGCGATGTAGTCGGGGGTCCCGCAGAAGGTGTTCGTCCTGGCATCCCCCAGCATGTTCTCCTTGCACATCCCAAAGTCCGCTATTTTGATGTGTCCATCTTTGTCTAACAGGATGTTATCAAGCTTCAGGTCCCTGAAAAACAAAGCAGATTCTCACTTTAATAACACGCGGTTTTGTTAACATGGACTTGCCCTGTGACGGGGGCTTGCACGTCCCATCACAGCCTGAAGGGCAATGAGTAGGTACTTTGCTGGTCCTCCTATCTCCTCCAGGGTCACTGCTTCTCGTCCTTGGTGTTTCCTCCTTGACCAGCGTCTCTTGCCCAGGACTGGACGTACAGTACAGCCCCTCGTGGTCCAGGTTGGCTTTCTCTGGGCCTGGCTCTGACCGAGTTCTGTATCTTCTGTATCAATACCTGGCCCATCTCCAGAGCTCCCTCCATATTTCACGTATGAATGGCTGAGCAGCTGCCGACGTGGGGCCACATAAAGGTCATGCGTTATCTCTGCAAAGTAGCATCCCTCAGTGTTAAGAGGGGCCCTCAAGAAACAAAGCCTGGATGGAAAGGAATAAGCTGGTGATGAAATGTCATGGGGGCTGGTGTTTGGTGATGTGTCTGGTGTAGGGTGGTATTCAGTACTACACAACACATACACCCATCCACTTCCATCCAAGGTAGGGGTGTAGATAAAACTGACTCTTCAAAGGAATGGCCGGTTGCTACTGATTCCCCTTTCTGACTTGCCAAGGAGTGCAGCTAATATACCATGGACAAGACACAGACCTGAGGCTCTTTATCCCGGTACCTTTCCTGGGGGTAACGGAAAAGGAAGAAAGGCCTAGAAATATACTCATTTTATGCCATTCTCTAAGTATCTGTGTGTGTGGATAAGTTATCCTGCACCTAATTCGAAGACCAAATAAGGAAAGCTGTTCCTAACCCAGATTAATTCTAGAATCAGAATCCATCTGCTACCAGAACACCATGTCAATGACTTCCTCTGTCCTTAGAGAACCAGTATCCTTGTAAGGCAGCCCACTTCATTTTTTAGGGATATGTAAGTGGTGACACGATTTTAAAAACACGGGCCAAACTATGCCTCCCTGTGACTTTACCTGTTGGCCTGTTTACCACACTTGACCGCTTGGATATTTGGAAAGTGACACCAAGCTTTCTCTTGTCTTTCCTTGACCAAGTTGGGGACCTTTACTCCTCCACACAGCATGGTATTCAGACTCTGCAACATTCCGGTCCCTATCCTGCACATATCTCGAATTTGTCCATTTTCTTCTTCAAAGATGGTTCTCAGAATGAAACCGGTGTCTTCCGGGTACATGATCACCTCACAGGTGCAGGTGACGGTGGCACCCTTAGCTTCCGGTCTAGTCCTCTTGCCTCTGAGCACTGTGGCTGCACTAGTTATTTCAGAAGTTCCATCACAACGATGCTTAATATGGAACTCACTGTAAACTATAACCTCCAGGTGTCCTTTTTTCTTCCCCCCACAAACTACCATTATACCATTTTCCTGTCATCCTGTACCTGCAAAACGGATTTTTTAAAAAGATAATCCAGGAATGACACTTGACATGAGTTTCTTTAAACTTTTATCGACTTTAGTCAGTGGCATTTTATGAATTCTAGTCGGTTATATAACATCCAGCTTTCTCTTTATCTGCCGTGAATTTCTGAGCTTTGTGAAAACTCCTTTAAGTCTAGGATATGTGGTGGGTGGTGGCTACCACTGCCTTCCTTAATGAGCTAAGACGACTTGGGAGAGAAGAGCTATTGCTGTTGCCTTGTTCTGCACCTCCTCTAAGAGAAGATGCTCAGAATCTCCTTCTCAAAGATTCTGCTCCCAAAGGGCCTGGCAAGTAGCTCTGTCTCCTCCGCCCCTGTTGATTGAGCCACAGGTGGAGGCCTGACTCAGTGGATCAGCTTTTCTTCTTGGGGAAAACTTGCAGAGGTTGCAACATGACGGCACTAGTCCGTCTCGGCTGGGTGTCGGATGCGTAGGGCTGCTGTGGCGCGCCCTCCATCATGCCCTTGGAGGGACAGAAAACCAGCCTGTAAAAGAAGAGGCTGAAGTGGCTCGGCCAAGAGTAGAGACAGAGGCCCCGTGACCCCGAAGAACAACCCAGCCAATGAGAGAGGAGCCACTTTGGTTCTGATGGGTCTGCATTCTTGGTTCTGCTTTCTCAGTGAGGCTTAGCTTCTGCTTAAGCAAAGGTTTCAGTGGTTGTATGATGCTTGTAATCAATACCCGTATCCTAAAGTCCCGTCACTGTTTGTTTTATCTCCTTTGTTACACTCTAAGCTTCACGACGGTGGAAAGTGTATTGCTTGGTACTTGCTGTGCTTTGATGCTCTGACGCGAGTGTAGCACGTGTTGCTATCATTCCATAACCATCTGAGTGAATTCATCACCAACCAGTGACCATCTCACCACCAGCGAGTTATCAGCTACAATTAAGTCCCAAGTAATGGTTCCCTTTTGTTGCTTTCTCACCTTCTGTGAGTAAAGTAGCCAGAGGACGTGAGCATGGGATGCAGTTCTGTTTTGGTGCAGAAATGCTGCTAGCAGGTGTTCCCCAGAGCTGACCTCTTGCATCTGGGCCAGCTTGCTGACCTCTGTCACTAATGCATCAACGATGGTTTCTGTCTGACCAGGTGCATGGATACCTCCAGGATACGTGAATGTGTGTCTCACATTCAGATCAGTTTCGGCTGTTTCTCCCATCCTAACTCGAATGCTGTCGCACTTTCATTATTAGGACTTAAGACTTCCAATACGTCTAAGTCTTCTCCGTAGGCAGCCCTTCTGCCTTGTTCCTTCATTTCAATTAAATCCACTTTCATTGTGACTTATGGATTATATTCCAGTAAGTCCAATTATAGGTCATATTTAACTCCTTATGCTAAAACTGCAGGTTCATTTCCTAACCCACACTCTAATGAAACATATTTGCATCATTCACAGCCACATATGTATGCTCCTAGAAATTTGGCTGAGGGATGGTTTTAGGGTCATCACTAGGGAGCCAGATATCCAGCTGCAGTACTGTACATAGCTCAGAAGGATCACGAACATAATATCTAATATTGGAATTTCTTTCACATGCATTTTATCATTTGATTCTCACAATAGCCCTTTGATCTGGAATCACTATTTTTATTCGTATTTATCTAATGGAAAACAAAGGCTCTTAAAATTATACAGTCTATCCCAGCAAATCCAGGCTTTACCCTCTTTTACATCCCCTTAAACCAAGCTCACCTGGTCTTTCGCATTGAACTGGTCTTGCTGAGATACCTAGTCGTCTGTGATTGCAAGGGTACATTTTAGTCAATTCTAAAAATGAATGTTCCCTAGGCCTCAAGCTAGGAAAGCTTCATGTTCAATTTTCAATCCACCCTCTAAAGTGGGCAGGGTGTCTACAGGGCTGGGAGAGAGGAGGTCATTGAAGCTTTGAGAGATCTAAGTCAGAAGGGGAAAGGTCTAGAAGGCCTGCCATGCAGAGCCAGACACCCTGAGGGGCAGGAAGGGGTGAAGGCAGAGGGAGACGAGCTGGAGAAGCCACAGGACCCAAAGGCCAGAGTGTTCACAGGTACCTCACAGGACACCAGGACCCAGAAAGGGCCTTCAGGGTCCAGGTCACCTGGCATGGCTCTTGGAAGCACCCATCTGCCCAAAGGGCTGCACATCGGGGCACCAGGTACAACCGAGAATTCAGTGGAAGCCTTTCTTTCCATTGTGTTGTCAACATTAGCAAAGCTTCTCCATTTGGAAGAGGCAAAGTGGGAGCCAGAAGAAACAGCTTCCAAATCCAAGTTTTATTACTAAGTAGCTCAGCCAAGCCACGTCTCCTCTCTGATCCTTTAATGACTCATCCATAAAATGGGTACAGTGATGCCTGCCTTGCTTATCCCACAGAACTTGTGAGCATCCAATGAGATCATCCACATGAAAGCATTTGTAAGTAGTTTCAAATATAGGGGTTGGGTCCAGTGTCATCGATCAAAGATCATCTTAAGGTCCCTTTCAGTTCTAATATTTCTAAGACTTGAGACTCTAGATTCTGCTTCTTCTATGTTTGCGTATCTTCCAGCTCCTTGGTTTTACATTTAACCTAAGCCAGGGCTGAGGCATCTTTTAAGATGCCACCACTTTTACGATTCCACCAGTAATGGTAGATGATTGATGTTGCCACCTGCTTCTCTACATCTCTTGGCCTCAATTCTTGCGACTGCCAACAACAGCCTTTCCAGAAAAGCTGGACACAATTTGTTTAATATTCCTCCACTCGACCTCCTTACTCCTATCTCTGTGCCTTTTCTGGAGTCACTTCTTCCATTTATAAAGCCTCTCCCCCTTTAAAAAAAAATCCTCTTTCTGATGGGAACTTTTTGTTGGCATACCCTCACCTATTTCTGATGATACCTTCGTTATTCTTCCCTTTGGCACTTACTTTTTTTTTAAAAAAAAAATAAACTTATTTATTTATGTTTGGCTGTGTTGGGTCTTCATTGCTGCCTGTGTTTTCTCTAGCTGCAGTGAGCGGGGGCTATTCTTCGTTGTGGTGTGTGGGCTTCTCATTGTGGTGGCGGGGGCTACTCTTCGTTGTGGTGTGCGGGCTTCTCATTGTGGTGGCTTCCCTTGTTGCAGAGCATGGGCTCTAGGCACGTGGGCTTCAGTAGTTGTGGCTCATGGGCTTCAGTAGTTGTGGCTCACAGGCTCTAGAGCGCAGGCTCAGTAGTTGTGGCGCACAGGCTTAGTTGCTCCGTGGCATGTGGGATCTTCCCGGACGAGGGCTCGAACCCGTGTCCCCTGCATTGGCAGACGGATTCTTAACCACGGTACCACCAGGGAAGTCCCGGCACTTACTTTTAATTAGAATCTCACTCATTTAGACTTTTTTTAGAGTATGCTGTTTGTGTCTTTTCATGTACTTATATTTTACCTCCAAAAAACCCAAAATAAAAATCCAGAAAGTAGCTTAATTATGGATCCAGAGGTTGGGACTTCAATAGCTTTTGAATCCACCACAATGCTTAACCAAGGCTGTGTGTTTAGTGGCTGGTCCGTCTTCATTACCAGTTGTAGTGGGTTTAGTGGTGCCCCCCCCAAAAAAAGATATTTATGTCCTAGTCCCTGGAATTTTGTGAGTGAGACCTTATTTGGAAAATGGGTATTTGTAGATGTAATCAAGTTAAGGATCTTGAAATTAGATCATCTTGGATTATCTGGGTGATCCCTAAATCCAATGTCAAGTGGACTTGTAAGAGACATACAGGGAAGACACAGGGAGAAAAGAAGGCCCTGTGAAAACTGAGGCAGAAACTGGAGTGAACCCAAGCCCAGGAACACCTGGGGCCACCAAAAACTGGAGGGGGCAAGGAAGGATCCTCCCCTAGAACCTGCAGAGGGAGCGTGGCCCTGCTGACACCTTGATTTTGGACCTCGGGACTCCAGAGCTCTGAGGGAATAAATTCTATTGGCTTAAGCCATCAGGTTTGTGCTCATTTCTTATGGCAACCCTTCAAAACTAATATGATGATCATGAGTGGTCAGAAAAAGGAAACTAATAGAATCCCCTTGTTAATTCAGTGGCCCAATGAAAAGTATAGGCCAGTAAGGTTACAATGGGCAGTTGAATAATTTCTTAAGGCCGATCTTAGTGTCAGTGTACCTGCTGGATGACCTCCCCCAGTTTTAATTATTCCATGTCTTTCAAGGATCTCCTACAGCCTCAGTGAGTACACTGCTAAATAAACCCAGGATTCTTTCTTTGTGGTGCATAAGAAGCCTTAGAAAATATTTCTCATGGATGTAGTAAGAGCTCTAAAATGGGTACAATTTATGATATTAAAGACACTTATGGACCTTGGTCTTTGTCCTGCGTGTCAATAATTTACAAGATGAAATAATAGAAACACCGTGATGTGGAGAAAGAGACTATACTGGGGCATGTGGGGTTTGGTTGCATGAGGTCCCTTTCAGCCCTAAGATCTCTCTTTTCTCCAGTCTTCCTAACTTTTCCTCCCTCTTTCCTATCCATCCATCCCACACAATCTACTGAGTGTCTCAGTGGTATATCTTAGGGATATTGCAGGCATTACAGATATAAAGAGGAAAACAACCATGGAATCTGATCAGGGTTTTCAGCGTTCTGGTGAGTATTTCTCACTTTCCTGAAGATTAAAGAATGGTATAAAACAGATTTTTAATCTATTGTTTTGTAGATAGCCCCCGCTCCCCCAAATACAAAAGTATATCCAAAGGATGCCAAAGAGACGGCTTAAGAAAAATGAGTTCCTAAGTCTTTAGTTCTGGCCTCTAAATGGGGCAGCCCTCACTTGGCTGGACCCTCTGGAAATGGAGAGGTTTCCCTAAGTGAATTTTCAGCCTATTCTGTAAGCACCAAAGCCCAGTACTGGCCATCCCAGACGGAATGCTTCTGGACTGCATTATACACAGCTTGCCATCTTCAACAATCTGTGTGGAACATCACTTAGCCTGTGCTGATGACTCCGGTCATTCCTGTGAGCACCTGCTGCAGAAAAGCACGTGATCCCACTGTCTCGGGGCCTTGAGGTTGTCCTGCATCTTCCCTTTATGTCGGTTCTCAGCTTCCCTTGTCACCAGTGGTCACTGTGTAGGCCTCCAGCTGCTCAGCCAGCATCCAGTCCAGCTCCTTCCTTCCTTTTTTATTTGTTTTCTTCACTATACACCCCCCACCCCGCCCAATCTGCAGTGAGTCTGAAATGAGACAACTAAGCCTTTGAAGATCTGTATGATAAGTAAGTGTCAACTGTGCTTTGAGAGAAGTAAGGAGACTGAAGTACATTAGCTTTCATCCAAGAAGGATGTGAAATGACGGTGTCCAATAGATTCTGGACAGACATCCACTCAAGAAAGAGGGCACACATGGCATCCTGGGCATGCAGACAAGGTGTAGGCTTGTAGGTTTTCACAGGTGTGTTTGTTCAAGGAAGGCCTCCCCTTATCCCTCACCCGAAAGGAGGACATTCAATGTGCAAATACAGGCAAGAAGGAGAGATACAAAAGACAGAAGAAAGCAACAATAAGAGGCCAAAGAGAAAGTAACGGAAGGAAATGAGACAAAAGGTAGAAGAGAGGGAGAACAAAATGAGATCAGAGCCTTATTGCTTTTTTTTTTTTGCGGTACGCGGGCCTCTCACTGTTGTGGCCTCTCCTGTTGTGGAGCATAGGCTCCGGACGTGCAGGCCCAGTGGCCATGGCTCACGAGCCCAGCCGCTCCGCGGCACGTGGGATCTTCCCGGACCGGGGCACGAACCCGTGTCCCCTGCATCGGCAGGCGGACTCTCAACCACTGCGCCACCAGGGAAGCCCCCCTTATTGCTTTTGAGAGCGGAATTTCTTACTTGGTTGGTAAATCACCATCCGTGCTGTCACTCTGGTCAGGAAGCCCGGGTGTGGAACTTTCTGCCACAAAAGCACACTGACCACTTCACGTCCCTCAAGCACAATGATGAAATCACCTGGACCAGGAAATCCAGTTATCCCAGTACTTGTTTCCAAAGAGTAAAATTTACCTGTAGACTATTCCTTTGGAATGAAGGAACTGCAGACCGAGAATGATTTCGGCAGCATAGAACCTGAGGGAAGGAAAATCAAGGCTCAACATGAATGTTTACCAGGAAGAAAAATTCCCCTTTTTATATAGTGAGTGTGCAGCGCTCTGCTAAATGTGCGCACGGAAGTTTGTTTAATCACAGCAAAAGGAAGACATCATCCATTCTACACATCCAGCTTCAGCCCTGAGAGAATGAAATGGAGCTGGTATATTTAGCCCTACCCGCATCTAGGGCTTATTCTTATATTGTAAACTATAATGCTCAAACTGTCATTTTAGAACATTCAAAAACACTAAATATAACAATAGGGAAATAATTTTCCCTTTTATTTTAAAATCTACTTGGATCCCTCAGACCTGTCTGCAGGTCATTCCACATAGCCTGAGAGGAGGAGAAACGCACACAGGCAGACCTCAGGGATCTCACGGCTTCGGTTCCAGACCACCGCAGTACAGCGAGTCACACGAGTTTTTTTGGTTTCCCAGTGCATATAAAATTATGTTGACACTACAGTGTCGCCTATGAAGCACGCAATAGTATTATGTCTAAAAAAAAAGCGTACATATCTTAATTAAATACTTGTGAACTATACTTCGGTTAAAAAAATATGGCTAAAAGATGCTAACCATCATCTGGCAACGCAGAGCTGCCACAAACCTTCCTTTATAAAAAAAACCAAGTACCTGCAAAGCACGATAAAGTGAAGTGCCATCAAACGATATGCCTGTATTAGAAGCTGGGAGGTGATACCTTGCTCTCCACCTTCAAAAATGACAGACTCAAAGGAGGTGAGTTTACAGGAGGATTGAAGTTAGAGATAAGGGAGAACTTCCCGAAAGTGAGGTCTGCTGGATCTTGGAGAAGAACGCAGAAACCCCTTCCTGGGAGGCAGTGAGGACAGATAGATAGCATGTGTCTGCGATGGCTTTCATGCCTTACACACCTGGAAGGGACCCCGAGAATCCTTTCTAGCAGAAAAATACCCGATGATTTCTGGGCTGCAGGAATCTCATAAAATTATCTCCGGGCACTTGGCCGATGGTTCCTGGAAGCAATGAGATCGGTGGCGTACTACCCACTGGATTCGACAAAACAGCCACTTCAGCCGGGGTTTCTGTAGGAGCTCGTGGAAAAGTCTCTCTCAACGCAGCTCGACCTGAACCCCTCCGAGTGTTCATTAGGGGTGAGTGAGATTACTGAGCATACAGCAAGCAAGGCTAGTGTGCACCCACCCTTTTAAGTGGAGCCAGGGGCACAGTTTTCTTGTGTTTGACCGTCTAAGTGGTTTGATGACTCAGGAAAGAGGGCCTGAGGGAGGAAGGGTGTGGGGCTTCTGTGGGACTCAGCTGCAGTCCCACCTAGTAAACCCACCCTGCTCGATTTCGCCAGCGCCTGGAGTGGCTTGATGCCAAAGAAGGAGAACGTATTCTCGAGAGAGAGCAAATGTCTCTTCCTGTTTCCTAATTCTCCTGCCCCCAGAGCTGACTGATGCCTTCACACTGAGCTTCCCTTGAAAGGCCTCCGTGAAGCCCCACCCAGTGACCGCCTTGCCCATCTGCGCTCCATTTGACTTCCATTTAACGGGCAAATATTGCTTCTGGGTTTGGATGATTTAGAAGCCTGATGAAGTGGGGTGGCTCCTTAAGAAACTAAGTAGTTGACCTCGCGGCAGAGAAATGAAATAAAAGCAACCTGAATTTAAGCTTCGCAAGCTGGGAAAACAGGTGCCTCATTGGATGTGTTCCTGGGGTCACCTCACCCTGGGGTTTAGGCCCACTGAGTGAGAAACAGGAAAAGTGCCACGTGGGGAAAAGCATGGTGCGGGCACAGTGGACCCCAGTCCCTGACAAGACCAGTGGGAACCCCCCAACCTTACAAGGGCTCTTACGTGGCTCTGCAAAGATCGAACTTGTGGCAGCTCTGGATGTGGTACATTAAGTCTCCTCCGTTGAGATACTCCATCACAAAAAAGAGGTTTTCCTGCGGAAAGACACAACCAACCCAACTGTGAGCTTCTTTAAAATAAGAAAACAAGGATTACTTTTTAAATGGATTTCATTATTTCAGAGGAACCAATTCTGTCTTGAAGTCCCTTATAAAAAGGCTGGCAAGACGATTTAGCGGATCTGTATAGCATTTCTGAACCCCAAGAAACCTGGGGAATCCAGGGGGAGTATGTGGGATGTCTGCTAGGATGCCTGGATGCTAGCACGCAGCAGATGGGGCACAGCACGAGGGAGGGTCCACCCGGACTTGACCACCTGACGGTGGGATGGTCTTGGGCACTTAATGGATGCTGGCTGTGTACCTACTGAAATGGACAGTGTGTAGGATGGTAAAAAGTACAAACCGGGGGCTCTGACTACAGGGGCAGGGCTTGAAAGCGTTCATTCGTTCAACACTCAGTAAGTAGTTCTGAATGTATTCTTCGGGCATGGCCAGAGCGAGAGTGGGTGTGCTCACGCGTGCCTCGTCCATCCAAGATGGAGACAGCCCTGCCTTCAGGGAGCTCACAGTCAAGTCTGGGCTTACTTCCCTCCAGTCCTGACCTCACCTGTTGCAAGTCACGGCTTATAAGCTGTGCTGCTCCTAACAGGACGCCATGCATGTTGTTAGAGCCGCTGCCCCTGGATGGCAGCTGTCAAAAGCAAGGCTGAGTGGTCTTCGGACCGTGGTCGAAGTATCAGAGGTGGCTGATTCCAGGGAGCCTGAGCTCCTCCATGGTGTGTGACAAGAGTTCCTCAATATGTATATTTATGACCCTTGGAGCACCCTGATTTTGAGAGTCCTCGTGAACCACAGAATTAGTAATCTGCTCAGTTGACGTGGAGACAGTTGGGACAGACGGGACTCAAGGCAACTGTTAGGATAATGGGCTTTGCCCTTACTCAGACCCGAGTTCAGATTTCCTCTATTTGTGACCTTGAAGTTACTTAACCTCTCCTAAGCCTCATATTTTTCATCTGCAAAATGGAAGAAGTAATATTCCTACTTCATAGGGGCGTCGTGAGTCGTAAATGAGATGACCTATGTAGAAAACTAGCTCAGCGTTGGCACTCAGCCTGCACTTCAGAACTGGTAGCTGTTGTCATAGTAAACAATTTAAAAGCCAGTCAAAAAAACAGGTCACAAGAACTAAACAAATGGAGAGAGATTCCACGTTCATAAATAGGAAGACAGTATTGCCAAGATGTCAGTGCTTCCGAACTTGACCTACAGATTGTCTACAATCCCAGTCAAAATCCCAGTGAGTTACCTGGTGGGTATCGACAAAACTGACTCTAAAGGTTACACGGAGGAGAGGCAGAAGATCCAGGATAGCTAACAACATGTTGAAGAAGAACAAAACTGTAGGACTGACCTTACCCGACTTCAAGACTTAATAAAACTACAGTAATCAAGATGGTGGTATCGGTGAAAGACCAGACCAACAGATCAATGGAACAGAAAAACCTAGAAACAGACCCATGTAAATATAGTCAACTGATCGTTGACAAAGGAGAAAACGCAATACAATGGAGCAAAGACGGTCTCTTCAAGAAATGGTTCTGACCATCACTGTATATTATCGTATTGCTACATTTCTTAATTTTCGTTGGCACAACGTCAGAAAAACAAACACCCAGCAGATACTTCTCAGAGAAAGGAACCGCACAGTCCTGTGGATCTTGAAAGAAGGAGGAAAACAGGGAGTTAGATCTCCTCCAACAAGTTAAATCTCCTCCAGCGCTATCTTTCTGTTTCAGTCAGAGCTGGGAGAAAATGCAAAGCAGGCAAAGCGAGGGGAATGTGGGCTTGTGACACGTGTTATTCCAGCAAAGACCCTCTTCTTAAGGCCGGTGATACATTAACTGATGCAAATGATTCTTCTGGGTGGAGTGACAGTTGAAGTTGTGATGCTGGTGGGGGGTGGGTAGGGTGGGGATGGGATGGTCCGAAACTGCCCTGGACTTAGGATTTGTCAACAGCTCCTGGCACAGCATCTTATCTTATCTGTGTGTGTCTTATCTTATTCTTATCTCTGTGTGTCTCTAACTAGCTGTGTGATCAGGTAAATCATACCATCCCTGGGCCTCAGTCTCAACCTCTGAAAAATGAGAAGTATTGGTGAGACCGAATTCCCCTTTACTAGCCTAAAGATGCCCTGATTTTCACCTTAATTCCTCTTCCTTTTTCTTGGGGGAAAACATGAAATTCACAAACTTAGGTCTTGTCATGTCCTCAATAACCAATGCTTCCCAGATGATAAAACACATGTTAAGAAGGTGTTATGCTGCAAAATTCTTAAGAGAAATCTTTGTTCAGAGACAGTGTGTATTCTAAGTAAACTGAAAGGGATAGAGATGAGCCTTCTCTCTGAGTCTTCTTCCACGGAGGTCAGCATTATGGCTGGGTTCATTATGACCTATCATGATGCCCCAAAGAAGTTCACGAACTAGAGGTCAGAGGGCTTCCTCCCGTTCCATTAGTCTCCTGATTATGCTAATAGAGTCTGGCTAGTTGGGGGCAAATACCTCTGTGTGTCACGGTCCTGAATTCTTTAACGTCTAAATTAATCCCGCCATGTACCGAGGGCTGGAAAGCAGAATGGGTTAGGACAGAATGGGTTAGCGCTGTGTTGTAGACCAGAGTGTCAGGTGAATCACTTTTTGATTGGTCTTTGTATTGTTTCTGAATCGTGTGTTTCTTGCTCTAAGAAAGATCTCGAGCACCCCTGCTCAGACAGGAGTATGTATTATTTCTGATTTCGGAAAAGAGTCCAAACAAAGGATTAAAACTCAATAACCTCTAGGATTTACCCTCCCAGTCCAAGCACTTGGTGAGTTTTTCACTTGGGCGGCAAAATCATAGCATTTTGTCAAGTAGCTCCATGAAAAGTGAATTTTAAAAGAGGAAGGTTGCCTTACTCAGGGTGTTTCCTCCTGCAGGGAAACGGCTAAGGTTCTTTTTAATGAAACAATAAGACACTGAGCTTATTTCCATCCTGTCCGTGAAGTCAGTTTTACTTGGGGTTTGACAGTACAATGATGACAGCCACTGGAAGAAGTGATTCATTGAATAATGCTGAAGAACCTCTCGCTAACAAGCAAGCATTTGATACATCATTCAACAATACTGATTTATCTCTCAGCTCTCCAGTTTGCAAATATACCTATGGCATACATGCCGTTCTGTCTGCCAGATTCATAAAAACAAGAGAGTCAGAGTTAGTTATTGCTTTGTTGTGACTTTCTGGTAACCGAAGGATATAATCAATGCTGATATTCTGGAGATAGATGGGTATTCAAAGCTCTGTGGCTCTTTTTTTTTTTTCCTTTAAAAAAAGGTATTTATTCTTGCAAAGTCATTTAAATATATATACCGAGTACTTTCAAAACTTGAAAATAGCAAAGGATTCTGTGTGTTTGTGTACAAAGTACTGTATTTTCCAAAGCGTCTACAAATATCTTTCATCACTTGGCTGATAGAATGGTATATTTTCTTCTCCTATGTACTTACAAAAATATGACAGACCACTTTAGGGGGCCTCTAACATCTAAATTGCTTTGTATTCATTTTCTTTGTAAAATCTCGATATCAAATTTAGCCATGAAAGCGATTTATACTGGTAAAAAGGAGGAAGCAGGTAAAAGCTATATACAGAAATACAAATACTTAGTTTGCCAATCTAAGAGCTGGAAAAAAAATCGTCTTTCAGATGACAGATAGGTACTAATCTCAGTGGTTTTCAAGGCCAGATCCTTTAAATCATTATGGTCTAAATTCAACCAAGATATTGCCTTTGAATCTCTACCTTTGTGGATCCCACCCTTGTTACTGACACTACCGATGTCCTGAGTCTGGACTAGTGTCAGACTGGAGGTGAGTCTCCTTCAGATTGACGACTACCTCCAAGGAGGTTTACATCTTTACTTCTACTTATTGTCCCCCGCCAAGCAAAGGTTTAGTTTGGAATTGCAAATTGTGAGAGCTGCATTCTTGACATCCACAGCTCTGTGGTGGGGATGCATTACAGGGGCTTCCTGTGTAGAGGAAGAGCACAGAGCTGGGGTCCAGGCTGCCCAAGCCAGGAGCTTACAGAACCAGCCAGGGCCCCACGTGGGGACGGAGCTTGCACCCGGATGGCACACCTGCAGGGCACCTGGACACGGGCTCACCCAGACCCCCTGCTGCTACATGCACACAGCCTGCGGTCAGTGTGGTCACTGACACTCAATGTCTTAGGTATGCTTGTAATATAGAAGGCTGGAGCCACTCCAAATCTGGAGTACTTGATCTATTCCTTCCTTGTTTAGTGAGCTATAAGCTAAAACACCCTAGAAAACAGGTTTATTTCCTTTTTCATAAAGAATAAGCCATCAGACTTGAGGACACGGGGAGGGGGAGGGGTAAGCTGGGATGAAGTGAGAGAGTGGCATCGACATATATTTACTACCAAATGTAGAATAGATAGCTAGTGGGAAGCAGCTGCATAGCGCAGGGAGATCAGCTCGGTGCTTTGTGACCACCTAGAGGGGTGGGATAGGGAGGGTGGGAGGGAGACGCAAGAGGGAGGAGATATGGGGATATATGTATGCATATAGCTGGTTCACTTTGTTATACAGCAGAAACTAAAAGCCATCAAAAACCAAAAAACGAACAGATAAACACATGTATACTTTTGATATCTAAGCGTTGCATGTGTATGTGTGTGAAGGAAGGAGGGAGGAAAGGCTCTCTGCAGACCAGCAAACTCATTTATTACGGCCTGTTTATATTTCTGCTGTAAGTCTAATTAGTAAAACTCACTGCCTTTGATAGATTCATTAGTACCTGTCAGAAATAATGTGCCTGAGTTTCTAGAGGTTTGTACCTGCACCGGGAACTTGGACTCAGTTGGTATTTTCTGGTTTAACTGTCCCACGGGGTCATCTTGCATTAACTAGCAAATTATTTTCTTCCATAACGGAAGTACAAACAGTGATCCATTTCACAAATTT